AGGAGGCCCCCGAGAGAAGCGACTGCTGACCCTGCTTTTGGGGGCCTGCGGACAGGGGCAGCCAATTGCCAGCAACCAGGATGTGAGGACTGGCCGGCCTTGGGGACATTGGAAATGTGTCCCCCTCTCTGATCCCTTCCCACACCACCCCTGTCCCAGGGATGCCTTGCCCAGCCTGTGGCCCACCGCTGCCCTGCCCTTCCAGCCCTAGGGCCCAGGCTGTGTCTGTGGCTTTGACTCCCATCTAGGCAGGGCCATAGGGGGCCTGGCCCCACGTGACCCCTGTCCTCACACCCCCAGGGGACGGTCCATATACTCCTGGGATAGAGGGTGGTGGCCTGGATGGCAGGCTGGCCTTTGAACCCAGTCTTCTGACTATTGTCTTACATTGTCCGTTCCACCCACTTCCTGACCAGCCCTGAGCAAAGTGGGAGGAGGCTTGTATGGACAGAGCATTTTTTAAAAGGGAGGTAGAGAAAGAAACCCATTCCGGACTAGGCTTTCAGGGGCCATCCTTGGGGTGCCTGTGACTAGCTGCTACAGCAAATGAGTGTGTGTGGGGGGGTGCTTGGCAGGGGCACAGCGTCTAGTGTGGCTTCAGCAGCCAGAGGCGAGTCAGGGCACCCGTTCCTGAAGGTCTCTGCCAACCAGCTGCCCTGGCTCTGGTCCTGGGGTTCCGGGGAAGCAGAAGCTGGCGGCGAGAGAGCAGACCATCTTCCGAGGGGGGTCCCACCCTGGCTTTTTAGGGATCTGGGTCAGGGAGAAGGGGGTGTGTGATAAGAACACTTTCCCACTCCCTCTCCTACCCCAGCTCTGCCGTAAAGCTGGTGTGAGCTGCGGGCAGAGCATGCGGCCTAGAGGGTGGCGGGAGAGGCCTCACGTCCACCAGCAATGCTGCAGGGCCCCAGCCCTTGTGTGGGCTTTCTCCCGTCTGCACCCCTGGCTTCTGTCCCGAGACCTGGAGGTGTGTGTGGGGCCGGAGCGAGGGAGGCAGCCTACCTGGCATCTGGGGGCAGCTGCTGCTGGTGAAGTGAGGGACGGGGAGGGGCTGGGATTTGGTAGGAACAAGGCTCTGGCAGCAGACCTTCTGGGTTTTTCTGATGAGGCTCAACTCCAAACATTCCGCCCTGTCCGCTCCGTGAGAGCGTGGTCTGCGGAGGCCGGGCTCCGGGCCCCGTCCAGGGCTGGGAAAGCCTGGGGTGGGCAAGAGAGGGCAGAAACTGCTGGGAGGAGACACGTGCCGGGTCTAGTGCTGCTCTGTGACCCTGAGCCCGAAACGCCGACCTGACCCAGCCCTGCTCCGCACCCAAGCACAGGGTCCACCCCTCCCACAGCCTCTGTATGCGGTGGACAACAGGAGGTTTACAGTGTGAGTACTTGAAACACAGGGTTTATTCTTGTATTATTATTTACTAATTATTGTATTATTTCCCATAGAAACAATTGTACGCCTATTTTTGCCCACGCCTGTATTATCTTCCGGCCCTCCTGCTGGCAGGCTGAGCCCTCACTGCTCTGCCCGGCTGAAGGCTGTAGGGACCAACACCAGCCCTGGCCCCGCCCTCCGTGGTGGATGCAGACATGGTTCCCCTGCTTTGCTGACACTAAGCCCACTGGCTGGCTCCAGAGCTCAGGGTAATCCCATCTACGGATGGTCATTGAGGCTACGTGGCAGCGGGCACGGCCCACAGTGGGGCTCCCCGCCCTGCAGCTGGCCTGATGCGCCTTGAGGTGTGTCCCAGGCGGTGTCAGTGCGTCTTGGTTCCTCCCCGGGGTGGGCCAGCAACGGAAAATAGCAGTGGCTCCTCTGAGCATCCGCCAAAAGGCTCCCAAAGGCTGGCTTGTCGGCGGCCCCCTCCAAGAGAAAAGTTCCTCTGACTTGGGAGAAACTGAAAGAAGCGTACATGTTGAGTGCTCGCTAACTGCTCCCCCTTCCGACCCACAAGGCATCTGATTCTCCTGTGACCACCACCAGTGAGATAAGCAGCTGGCTGTGGCTGTGCACCAGGCTCAGAAAGTTCCAGCAACTTGAGGTCACCACTAGCAGGTAGCACAGCAGGATTGGCATCCAGGTCCACCTGTCTTCAAAGCCCATATCTCCCCACTTCCCAGGCCCCCAGAGCTTCCCTCCCCAGCCTCAGTCCAGCTTAGCCACTACCCTCTGTCCCTTACTTTACAGCAACAACCCCGCAGCCGTAATCGGAGTCAGTAGGCCTGGATGGCACGCCTAGAGGGCTGGGATGCAGAAATAAACACGGGCAGGGATGCGCTCATCCCGAGAGGGAAGGCGCTCTCTGCACCTCCCTGTGGGGGGTGGGGGGGGCGTAGATACAGAGTGACCCTCTCTAGCCAGCAGTCAGCGAAGGCTTCCTGGGTGGGGATAGGCAGGTTGGATCTTGAAGAGTATGGACTGCACTGTGGATGCTTACATTTAACTCACTGAAGTGGAAAATATGCTCCTTCAGTTGCACCAGCCACATTTCAAATGCTCACAACAGCACGTGGACCTGGTAGCTGTTCTCTTGAACAGCCTCAGACAGAGAGCGTTTGCATCCTCCCAGGAAGTTCTGTGGGGCAGGCTGGTCTAGAAGAACTCCTAGGCTAGGAGTTTAGGTACCTTCCCCTAATGGGAGGGAGAGAGGGTGAGGAGCAGGCTGGCGGAGGGCGAGGGAATGCTCAGTTTGGGCCACGGCGAGCTTACAAGGTTAATGGCACATCCAAGTGGAGATTGAGGCGTTCCTACCCTCCTCAACCCCTATCTCCCCAAACAGGGTTTGCAATTCAACTGGACACCCTCTCCTGGGGAATTTCAAGGGCCTCACTAACATCCAATCCTAAACATCCCTAGGAAACTGCCAGAAGGCAGCCGTTGAAGTGGGTGCAGGGTGGATGCTACGTGTGTCTGTGTCTGGACTCAAGGTGGATGCTGGGTCTGCCTGGAAAGGAGTGGCTGGAAAGAGACAAGAAGGTGCTAGCAGGCGATGAAGGGCTGTGCTGGCCGGAGCCCGTCTAAAACCCCCAGCTCCGTTATCTCTTGGAGGAAGGAAGTAGAGGAAGCAGGGGTCTTAGGACCTCAACCTGGACCCTGGGATCCTCAGAGTTGAAATGATTCCTAGAGATAGTCTGGTCCGAATCTCATGAGATCCCTGCCATCCATAGGGCAGTAAGTGCAAAAGGATCACCTAACTCTTCTAACTCCTTTCTTTCAAGGTTTTTCCTCAAACCCTTTCCAATAGAGTAAGACAGACACCATTGTTCCTCTGCGGCTCTCTCCTGACCACTCCCGGGGATCAATCTGGGCTCCCCTGGCGTGAATATGTAGCCCACATCCCTTCTCTGGTTCACTCCCAGCCCTCGACTTGGAGCCAGACCCAGACCTCAGGGCACAAGAGGCAAACAGTACTGAGCCCCGCCCTTCCCTCTTCCACTCCAGCACGTTCTAGGAAAGACAGCACTCCGGAGACATTTTTAACTACAAGTCGTGCCTCAGGCTTAGTCTCAGGGAGAACTAGGAGATGGGCCAAGAGGCTAGCAAGGAGCAGGAGGATGGAACCATCTACTCAGTGCCCGCTGCCGCCGTCCTCAGGACTCCCCACTCATCCTACAAGGAGAGGAAAAGGCTGCAGGCCGGTGTCTGTCTTCCTGGATCCCTAAGGAATGGCACAGAGAGAAGCCACAGGACGCCCCCTGGTGGGTGTTCTCAGCCCTGGCTGCTCTCCAGCTAACGCCTGGATGCTGTCCCGGAGACTCTGGGTAGCGCCAGATATTTAATAAGCCGCTCTAACAACCCCCTCACACACTTCCCCCGGGAGATTCTAGTGTGCTAGGGCACACCCAGCTCAGAGCTGCCGGGGTCTCTGTGGGGCTCTAGGCTGCAGCATGGTGGGGTGAAGTGTCCGGGCCCGTGAGCTGGCGCCACAATCCAGAGACCACAGGATGGGAGACGAGATGCTCCCAGCTCTGCTGAAGATGACGCATGAGCTTGGCATGTACATGGGCAACAGGGGTCTGCTTTGCCGCCCTCATACCACACTGAGGTAAGCCTGCCAGCTAAGGGCGCTGCATGCAGCCGGGGAGGGTGGCACGCAAAGGTGGGCCTGCCAACTGGCTGAGGATGGAGCTGGCCATTAGTTGGGGCAGAAGGTTCCTTTTCTCTGACAACCACAAAACACCCTTGAGTGGAGGGGCTGCTCCAGCAGTGTGGAAAGGTCGAGAGGGCAGGTGGGACCCCTAGGTCACCTGTCCTGCCCCCACCACAGCCCCCCTCCACCCGCTTCCAAGGGTTGCCAGCCCTGGCAGAGCCAGAGAGGGAGCAGATGCCAGCCGACCGCTGAGCCAGGGTTCGGTCACACAAGGCTAGTGTGAGCAGCCCCAGCCCTGTCCCAACCTGCCCCATAACCAGCAGGCCAGGCCCGGCCAGCTGAGGTGGCCACGCTGTGGTCACAGGAGAGCTCTTCGCTGCTGCTGCATAGGAAAGGCCTGCCCGGCGAGCGCCATGGAACCCAGATAACCTCCTCCTCCCAGGCACCCCCTCCTCCTGCCCCCTGGGCCTCCTTGTGTGAACTCATACACACGGATCTTACACACACACACACACACACGTACACCCCATCTAACACTATTGGTCCCTATACAGCCAGGCTCCACAGGCCAGTCTATCTCTAAGGGGGAGACTCAAATCACAGCTTTATTGACTTCAGGGTTTGAACTTAGCCACACAAGTGGACACAGCGAAGGGTGGTCAGGGAGACCAGGAACTGAGCGTCACACACAGGATCCCCCTTGGGAAGTTGGAGCACCACCTTCCTTCCCTCCAAGAGCCTGTGTGGGAGACGCAGGCACTGGGACCAGGCCACCGCGAAGGTGAGGTCAGTGCAGCAGCAGGGCTGGCTGGGCGGTACATGATGAGCAGAATGTCCTCTGAACTCTTAGCTCCCGCCCTTGTACGAAGTGCAGGTGTCTGGATCTCCTGGCCCGACCCAGGTAAGGGGGCCAAGTCACACAGACCTGAGCTGGGGGAGCACTTCTGTCTCCTCTGTGCCTTTGTCCTCAGAGCGGGTTCTTGGGATGCAAAGGGCCGTGTGAGCCCAGGGGCACCTGGCTAAAGGTGGCAGGAGTCTTGGGAATGAGCAGGGAACTCACTTTGGGGGCTGAGTCCAGGTTCAGAAGGAGGAGGAGGCTGGGTCTGCTGGACTCGCACTTGGGGGAGGTGTTGAAGGACCTCTCCAAGCCAGGGCCCCTCCCTGGCTGCAACCTCAGTGTGCCTCTTCCTGTCCCTCCATCACGCAGGGGACTAGGTGGCAAGTACAGGGAAGGGGCCCTGCCAGAAGCCCAGTGCACTTCACCAACCCCTCGTCCTCATGGTGAGGAGAGCCCAGGAGCCTATACTTCAGTCTGGTCTCCAGGCTCAGCACTGCCCACAACGGCCAGCGAGGGCTCCTTGCCCTCCAGGAAGGCGGCGACGCTCTGCTTTTGGCTCCGGAGGGCCAGCTGCAGGGGTGTGCAGCCCTCCCCAGCCTGGACGTCCAGCTGGGCACCAGCTCTGACCAGCACTTTGAGGATAGCCATGTTGCCCTTCAGGGCGGCCAGGTGGGCAGGGGTCCAGCCTCCCTTGCTGTGGGCATGGACGTCTGCGTGGTGCTCCAGGAGGTGGGTGACGCTCAGGAAGCTGCCCCTCTGCACCGCCAGGTGGAGGGGTGTCCAGCCTGACTGCTCGGCAGCATTGGGGTCAGCCCCGCATTGCAGCAGCACTGCCACTACCTCCTCCTCCCCGTGGCGGGCAGCCAGGTGCAGGGGGGTCCAGTTCATGCTGCCGGGAGCCCCTAAGTCTGCATGGCTCTCAGCCAGCAGATGGATGATCTCCAGGTGGCCCTTGTAGGCTGCTAGATGCAGGGGTGTCCAGCCCTGCTGGGTCGGCAGCTCGAGGCTGGCCCCATACCTGAGCAGCATCTTGCAGATAAGGTACCTGCCCCTGGCGGCTGCGGTGTGCAGTGGGCTGTAGCCATCCCGGTCAAGGGCATCAGGGGCCGCCCCACTCTTCAGCAGGTGTTGGATGGCCCTGACTTTGCCTCGCTCCACGGCCAGGTGCAGTGGTGTCCGCAGGTTTCTCTGCTGAGCATCTAACTCAGCCCCCTGGCCTGTCAGCAGCTTGACCAGGGTGACATGGCCAAAGTAGGCGGCCACGTGGAGAGGGGTCTTGCCCTCGGCCTCACGCAGGTTGGGGTCAGCTTGACGGGAGACCAGAAGTCGTGCCACATTTTCAAAGTTGTTCTGTGCAGCCAGGTGGAATGGGGTCCACCCCTCATGCTCCTGGGCATCCACGCGGGCCCCGCGGTCCAGGAGCAGGCGGGCGGTTCGGTCGTCCCCATTCTGGGCTGTGAAGTGCAGCGGAGTCCAGCCGTCCTCATCGGCCAGGTTGGCGTCGGCCCCGTGGTCCAGGAGCAGGGCGCACAGCTCAGGCTGCTGGTCCTGGGTGGCGATGAGCAGGGGCGTGTAGCCGCAGGCCGTTTGGCAGTCCACGTCGACCTCATGGGCCAGCAGCAGCCTCACCTGCTCCACGCTGCCCTGCGCCACCAGGAAGTGGAGGGGGGTGACCTTGTTCTCGTAGATGCGCAGCTCCTCATCGCTGGGGACCAGGCTCTCACTGTCCGAGAGCTGCAGGACCCGCTTCAAGTCGCCTCCTGACTCTGCTGGGAGAGAGGTGGGGTTGAAAAGGACCTTGACCTGCCCAGAGGTCCTCTCGGCCACCCCCCTGCCTCCTGAAGTACCGCCTGGGGGACAGCGGCTAGAGAAGCGGCTTTCCTGACACCCAGGTCTCTGTGCAGGGTCCACTGTTCTTCCCCTGAGAACGGGAGGCAAGGCCTGGGTGCAAATCCTGACCCACCCCTCAGCATCACGTGCCCTGAGCCAACTCTGACTCTGAGCCTCCAGGTCCTGATCCTTAAAGGGGACACAAACAATGCCCACCTCATACTACCATTGTGAAGACAGATTGCCCTCCCCCCACTCCCCAGGCGCCCCGAGATTCTGATTTCATTCGTCTAGGTCAGTGGTTGGCAAACCGCGGCTCGCGAGCCACATGCGGCTCTTTGGCCCCTGAGTGTGGCCACGAAGTTTCAATCGCACTGTACGTGCGCGCCCCCTGTGGTATTTTGTGGAAGGGCCACACTCAAGGGGCTGCAGTTTGCCGACCACTGGTCTAGGTGGCCCAGGCATTGGCATTTTTTTTCATTCTCTAATTCCTGGGGGGTGGGGGGTGAGAGGGGGCCTGGGAGGCTGGGAAAATGGTGTGGTTTTCTCTGGCTCCCGATGTGCATGCATTCTGGACTCACCGCTGTCTGTAAGCTCCTGGCTGACCTCCTCACTGACCTGGGGAGGGAGAACCAGAGACACAGGGTGGATCAGCAGGGCCGTTCTGGTCCATGCCGTCCGCCACTCCTTCCTTCTCCCCAGTACTGTCCTCCAGGGGTAGGACTCATCCCCCAGGTCCTCAGAGACCCCCCTCCTAGCCACTCCCACCTCCAGCTGTGTCTAAAGGAAAACCTGATCAGGGAGACTCTGCTAGAAAAAGGTGGCCCAGGGCGTTGGCTTCCCCTTGGGCCACATGGCAAGCAGGGTGGCTGTGTGGGTTCAGCCGGGAGCCTACACCAACCATGGCTGACTCGCAAGTCAGGGAATGGACAGAACAGTGATGGTGCCGATGTCCACGGTGGGGAAGCCTGGGCGAGCTGAGGTCTCCCCCTGCAGGACAGGCCTCTGCTTCATCCCACACATTTGAGAGAGGCCACGACCACCACTAACCCTAGAGAACCTTGGCATACTTAGGGAAACGGGACCCCTGGCACAATGAGGGCTGGGTCCTCACTTCCTCTTCAGCCAGGCGGCCTTGTGAGGGCCAACACTATGCACGCACCCCCATGC